GAGAATAGTTATGCTTTATGCAAACAGCAACTATTTTCACTGAAAGAGCTTTATCTTTTATTACTTTCAGTTCTCTTACAAGTTGGACAGCATTTATTTAGACAAAAATATATATGAATTCATGAAAGCTCTCCAGTTCAAGAATAATTTATTTTGTCTCTAATAAGCTAATAAGCAAGCAAGATCCTGAAGGCAGTATTGCATAAACAAAAAACAAAACAAAAAAGAAATAACTTTACATAATGATGATGTTATTCTTTTTACTGCAGATTTAGGCAAAAGGAGGGAGGGTTGGGGAACTGTTTAGTATTTTCTTATTTAAGACCGTTTAGTCTTTTTAGATGTACACCTTTACATAAAGGTGTACATATAAATAGAAGGATGAGGAGAGCCCACCTGCCCCCACCCATCCTCAAAACCTTCTACAAAGGCACCATACAGAGCGTTCTGACCAGCTGTCTCACTGCGTGGTGTGGAGGATGATGCTCCTCATATAGGAAGAATGTAAGAAGAATGGTGAGAACAGCAGAGAAGATCATAAGGGCTCCTCTTCCCTCCATTATGGACATTTCATCCCAGCGCTGTGTGTCCTGAGCCTGTATTATCATCAATGACCCCTCACACCCCCACCATCGACTGTTCTCCCTGCTGCCCTCTAGGAAGAGGCTTTGCTGCATCCGCTGCAAAACCATTAGGTTCTGCAGAAGCTTTTTACCCACTGCCATCAGACTGTTGAACTCTAAACTGGACTCTGCGTCATACTTGTAAACATCAAACTGCACTACCAACATGGCGGATTTTTTTAATAATCCCTTTAAATACAAAGCAACTCAATGTTCTACTGCATTTCAGACCATATTTATTTTGCACTGCACTGAACCTTTCCATATTAATGCCTTTTGCACCATTATTTTTAAACGGGTTTCCTTTTTTCCTACACTGTTTACATTCTAATCACTGCTGCACTATATAATGGTAATTTTCATTTCCCTGTTGTATACACCCTGAGTGTAAAAATGACAACAAAGTTTGTATAAGTATCATTTTTGTGTTGTTAAATATATTAATATTGAATATACAATCATTATTTTCTGTTTTGATTTTTTTTCCTTTATTAAGATTCCCAAATCCTTCAGTTTCTAGGATCTGCTCTTCGTGCGCCACACATTCATAATAAACATCAGAAAAACACAACGTGAACACAAGTTGTCACGCTTCAAGAATAAACAAATATATTTGTTCAAAATAAAATAAATACAAAACAAAATGGTATATATCAAGAACAAAATACTGACGTCTGACAATGTTAGTCTGAATTGTGCTGGAAATCCGCAGCCTAACATTGGGCCACTTTCCTCATGTAGTGGAATGTGTCTGTACAAGCTGGAAATCAGAGTCACTCACCTGGGATTGCCGGAAAAAAAAAAAAAAAAAATCTCAGCTTTCACACTTATAACAAACACATGTGACTGCGACACAGCAGAAACTGTGAAATTGTAATTTTGACACAAAGAAAGTGTCATCTCCAATCTCTCTACAGGGCAGAGGTGCTGTTTGAATTAAAACAGAGTCAAAGGATAAAAGCTTTCAAAGATTGTACCGCTTTTTCTCTCTATACCTACCAGAAAATATTTTATCTACTCTCTTTAGCAGCTTGCATTCTTTATACTCATAAACATTTTGGCCTTTTTTGATCATCAATCACCGGCACGATTCCCTGCAGACAGGAGGGAATGTCAGTAATGACAGTAATTTTGCTCTTTTTCTGTCCTCCTGTCAAGCACTGACATTTTCTGAAGGGTTCAGCAGTTCAGCAACAGGGCCAACTATTACACACACTGCATTCTGCTGGTTTATATGTGACACCCAAAGTTTATGCATGAAACACACAGAAATTTTAGATGTTAAGATTTCCCTATTCCTTGTTACTTTTTGCAGATCCGTTTCTGCTTATAAATCAAAAATGGGCTTATTGGGTATATGATGATCTCTTGGTTCACAGGGCATGAAGGGTTATAAGAAACCTACAAAAACTGCTCTTTTTAAAGGACCATCAGGCACAAAAAAAATAAATAATAAAAAATAATAATATAAAGATAAAAGAAACTTAATGAACTCCATATACAAATATCAAATTCAGGGGTGTTAATTCAACTCACAGGGAGTTAAAATCAACACTAACACTACAATCAACACAAACTTAAAGTGTCTACATTGGTCCATACCAAACCAATTTAAAAAAACATTTACGAAAGTGTTAACCTGTGACACTGTTTGGAAAACTTCTTAATCGTTGGAAGTCAAAACGTATCAGGGTTGAAATTATCTAAAACTAGAGGGTAGTATTAACTTTTGTTACAACACACAAGTGTTTATCATTTACCCATTTATGGTGGGAAGCTACATTGTAGCCACAGCTGCACAGTGGAATACTGGCAGTGTCTTGCCCGAAAACACATCAACTCAGAAGGAAGAAGCTTGAATTCAAACCAATGAGACGAACTTCTGCATCGTTCACTCAAACTCCAAAGTCTGCGATTGTTGTGTTAGCACATGTGTTTTAAGAAAGAAGTGAGATTTACTTCACCCGGCTTACAAAGCTAGTCCAACATTTAGCAGCTGTACCTAGAGAAAACAGGAGGTTAAACCTTTGTCCCAAAATACAAAATCCTCTCTAATGTTCATCTTCATTGAAAATTTGAAAGCAGCAAGACAACAGAGAACAACAGATCTGTAGATCTGTTAAGGACCCAATGTTCTTTTATCAAAATGTGTTTGTTTATCAAATCTCTAGTTTCCACCTTCGTGTAGAGAATGGCTATGCTATTTGCAAACAGAAACCATTTTTAATGAAAGGACATTATCTTTTATCACTTTTAGTTCTCTTACAAGTGGGACAGCGGCTATAAAGACATAAAGAAATGTATATAAGTTAATGAAAGCTCTCCAATTCAAGAATAACTTTTGTCTCAATAAGCTAGTAATCCTGAGGGCAGTATGCATGAACAAAAAAAAAAAAAAAACTTTACATATTGATCTTATTTCTCTAATGCAGATTTAGGCAAAAGGTGGGAGGATGGGGGAATTATTTAGTATGTTTTTACTTAAGACAGTTGAGTCTGTTTACATGTACACCTGTATATAAAGGTGTACTTGTAAATAGAAGCACTTGTACTTCCTGCAGAGGATGAGGAGAGCCCACCTGCCCCCACCCATCCTCACCACCTTCTACAGAAGCAACATAAAGAGCATTCTGACCAGCTGTCTCAATGTGTGGTGTGGAGGCTGCAGCGCCTCAGACTGGAAGAACAGCAGAGAACATCATAGGGGCTACTCTTCCCTCCATTATAGACATTTCATCCCAGCGCTTCATATCCTGAGCGCCAGAAAATGTTCCTAGGGGTACACAGGAAGATACCATTCTGCACTGCTAGGTGGCCAGTAATTAGTACACAACAGGTTTGTGTCCTTTTACACTAATTACCAGTGTATAACAGGAAAAATAAAATAAATGAATCATTGTTTTTTAACCCCCTTAAAACACAAAGGTTTGTTTTGAAATCTTAATGTTGTAGCTAATAATGAATGACCAGCAATTCAAGTTGAAATCAAACAGTTTATAGAGGAAAACCTAATATTTTTTTCAAATATTTTGTATGGCAGAGTAAAAAAAAAAACAGCTTACAGTTTAGCCCATTCTGCCACCTGCTGGCAGTAAAGCAAAGACATCTTTACTAAATTAAATACTGAATGGTACTTTTTATGGAGACTATGATTGATGAATGCATGCCAATTTCCCGTATTTATGCTTACTGTTTTTGCTCAGAAAGTAGTAAACATCTGTGTGAAACTAATCATTCCTGTTTTGGGGTTTTAATATTTTCATATCAAAGAAAAAAAAGAACAAGTTAAAATGTCTTTACATGTCAAAAAAAAAAAAGAAAAGAAAAAATTACTGAAATATTAATGGTCTCCATTAAAACCTACGAGGCATTAAAAAAAAAAAAAAAATCAAAAACATTAATACACAAAATACAAGTGTAATTTTCCACAGGGTAACATATACATGAAGGTTTATTATCTTAAAACCCTTCAAAACTACAGCACCATTCCTACAACTGTCCTCATGCAAAGAGACACAAATTAAGGCAACACTGTCAGAAAGGCTGTAACATAAACTGGTAAAATATTTACATTTATACAGAGTAAAGACACAAAACTATACAATAGAAAAACTGATATAAACCTACAAAATGTCAATAGAAGAATAGAGTGTACAAAAATACATAAAAAACAAAACATTTGTATTACAATCCTTGTTAAGCTGTTGCTCTGCATGACACATGTACTCGACACTTCTAATTTCCTTTCTGGGAAGCAGAATGAGGTGAATGGAAAGATAAACAGTCACAGGAGGTCCTATAAGGGTGTATTTCTTGTCAGACATGTATGCAAGTGAGCAGCCCAGTGGAAATGTCCCAGCTGTTCATGGTGTGTTTGTAAAAGGACAGATAGTAAAGTGGCAGAGTCTAAAGTCCAGAAAGATCTAGGAAAAGGGAGATCTGCATCTTCTTTAACCCCTAAATCTGTATCTGATATATCACCCTGGATGCAGAGGTTAAGTATTAATATGTGGGAAAGTTCTTGAAAAAATAAAATAAAATCTTGAAAGTCCCTTCTTAAATTAAAGATAATTAAATGTTTCCAGAATGTTTGTGTCATTAGTAGTTCAGTTTGGTTGTCTTTTTAATGCAAGTAGGTGCAGTTGGATCAAAATGCACACCTAAGCAGGTATGTTGAATAAGCTACAGAAAAAACTTCCAAGAAATTATCTTTTTTACTGGTTACATGTTTAAAAGTCTTTACATGTTATTATGTTATAATCAGTAATTTTTTTGATAACATCTCCGAGCACTTTTTTTGATAATCAAAATTGAGATAATCTTTTGAGCTGAAATGAAAATGTTCTTGTAAAGGCGGCCAAATGTCAAACATCCTTCATATCCTTTCAAAACCATTTGAAGGCTAAATCTTATAACCCTTATCTTCTTGAAACCATAAATAACAATGAACTGGCTGTTTGTTTAAATTATGACCAATATTATTCAGTCTTTTAGTTGTTTCTGTTAACTTTAATCTCCTCTACCATAAAAAAAAAAACTGTTCTGAATATTTAGTAGGTTGCAATGACACTGTTCCTGCAAATAAAGATTTGTGCGTTAGTTTAGCTCCATTTATATAAATTAAAATTAACCTTCCTCCAGAGTTTCCCTGCTTTCCTTCTGCCTCAACTGTTTGACATCTCCACTGTTTAGCTAGATTTAATTTTTCCATCCTTGCCTTAGTATTTAAGCTTCTATCTTATCATGCTGGATCCCTCCTGCCTAACACTGCTTGTGCTTCATATCCCACTGAAGCTTTTTCTTTTTTCACTTTTTGACCACAGCGGGTCTCTGCCCTTTGGTCCTTTTCTAACCACATAACATTTTCAGAATATGAACATTAGATTAATTTATATCGTAACAAAAAAACTTCTAAAAACTATTATTCAACTTGATTTCTCCCATTTGGTCCGTTTCCTCCATCACCTCCATCACCACAGTTCTGGGTCCGGTCATGATCAGGTGGCTGACTGTCCGGTAGTCCAAATCCAGAACATTGAGACCATTCACAGAGATGACAAACTGCCGTACCTGTAAATATGGATCTGATTAATGGTTGAAATAGCAATAAAACCCTCTTAAGAAAAGGAAAGGTTGTTGCTTTTATTTAACCTTCATCCCAGCAGCAGCGGCTGGACCAAAAGGCTCCACAGCTTGAATGTAGCACGGTTGCTTTCCTCTGACCACGAAGCCCCAGCCCACAGCATCCCCCACAATCTGCAGGGAAGCACAGGCAAGGATTTTAACTTAATGAGCTAAAATCTGAGCACATATCACAGGGAAAAAACATAAAACCATGTACCCCCTTTGCACTTGTTAAAGGATAGATCTTTTTGAAACATAACCACCTTTTATTCAAATAACCAAAGACAGATTTTAATTAACATCTGATCTATACAGATGTATTAAAAAAAAGAGTTTTAATTTGTGTAAATGAAAGACTTACTGTAAATGTTTTCTTGATGTAGGGGCCTCCTGGTGATATAAGTTCCTCTGTGCTGACTGGTCTTTTCAGGACTAAAACATACAGAAAAAAGTAAATGTAAGAAAAAGATTTAAAGGGGAAAGAAATACGGATGAGAAAATATGCTTCAAGTTCAAGTTATTGACTTTTTTTGAGAGAAACATTGTCAGAAATTCTGAGACATTTTATCCTTGCTAGAGATCTGCTAAATGTGACAATCTGATTAAATGAAAATCACATTACTTCTTTGCTGTAAAATTATTTAAATATCAGAGATACGACAACCATAGAAATAAAATGACTCATGCACTGTAGACTACATGACATACATTATACCTGATTTAGGGCTGGAGAGTGTCAGGGAGGAGAAGGAACTGCGGCCACTTGCTGTTCTTCTAGTGTAAATGTTTCCATCGCTGCTGCTCCTTAGCCGCGGTTTTGCTGGACCAACACAGCTTCCACTCATGGCAGCTTTTTCATTCTTAGAGGCATTGTCTAAGAACACACAGATATGCACATAATAGGGAACTTATTGATTAACATAAACATATAGATGTGTTTTTTTAAGTCAACCAATTATCTATATCTTTTGTAAGCCACAATTATGATCTTCTAACGTAAATAAAGTCCTATTTATTTCAAAACACTGGTTATTGATTATTTATCATCTTTAAGATTGTTATTTTGGTTTGCGAAACCACAACGATGTAGAAAAAAAGTTTAATCTTGCTATGACAGTATGTTATTTTGATCAGCTCATCGAGTTGCCTGTGACCTTCTCAGAATATCGTAAACTTTTGCTGATCACCTTTCCTAAAACGTACAAGTTTTTTTCCGAAACTATACTTTACACTGTCCATTATTTTTTACCTACAATAACTTAGATGCTTCATAGAACTAGCAGGTTCCTTTCTGGAACTTTCTTGGAAATATACTGGTACTTCTACTTTCTGGGGACTTCGACAGACCCTACCAGGTACAGTCCTGTAACACGAATGTTGATTTCCAAAACTAACCAGGTTGCTTTCTCAATTTTTAGTGTTTATTCTTTGTGGTTCTCTAGCATTAAGACATGAAATCTCTGCTGAATATTTGTTAATCTACAACTTTAGATGAAGTCCCTGCAGGATATATTTTAGCACTTGGGCAAACATGGATACAAATGTTATTGGAAGACCTGTTATGCAACTTTGCCTTTAACTGGGCTCTATAAAAGGGAACAAATGGAAACAAAGGAGCAATCATTTGGACTTGTTAAGGATTTGGAGCGTTTTCATATTGACCCTTTACTTTCAAAACCTATTAATCCACAGTTCCTTTTCATTCCACCTTAACAAAAGGAAATAAATTATGAAGATGGGTAAATAGCAGTCATGTTGACTGCTAAAGGAAACAGTTTAATGAAAAGCCCAGTTAAAGGGGCTGCCCTTTTGAGATTTCCAAAAGATAATTTTGTAAACTTGACATATATGCTTTAATCTACTGCTACAAGAAACAATCGTTCATACATTACTAACACTTCTCATGTGTATTTTGCTTCACATACCATATTTAGTCAACTAGATCTACATTGCTATTCTATTAGTGCAACCTTCATACATTTGTAACATGCAAAACTTAAAAAAAGATTTATTTAGTGGCTTCTAACATGCTGATTATGTTTAGACATACTTTTAACAACAGCAAACTTAAATATACCTGAGATTTACAGAATGATGGTGGTCCAGATATTGAACCGGATGCCTACCCCCCCCCCCCTTCCTCTAATATTGGAAAAGTACACCAAGTACACCAATATCTGACACTAACGTAATAAGCATTGTTTTTTGATGCTTAATGAATAACTGGAGTGCAGAGATTATTACTGCAGCAACACTTCCTGTGTGTCATACTGTGATATTTAGATTGTTCTCTAAAGTTTGACCTGAATATGAACACTTTGCTGTGATTTTGTGTGCATTAATATGGCTTCATACTACTTATTTTTCCTTGTATTCTTTGCTTTAACCTGTACAAACCATAACTAAATTTTATTAAGTAAATTTTTTTTTTCATATCCAAATCATAACTTTTTTTGGTAATTCAGGAATGAGGTTCAACATTGGCATTGCTAATTCTATTACTCTAACTAAATTATACTATTAAACATCCACTTTATAAACCATTTACATTTGTTTAACTCATTTATACCTGCATTATGCTGCATATATAAGTATTTATTGAAGTGGAAGGAATTTAAAGCAAAACCTGGGTTTAATCAAATCTTTGGACCTCTGTAAATATGACTTTTGATTATGATATAAGACAAAAAAAAGTCAATGCATTTTTGAAATATATAAACTAAATGAAGTAGCTCTTACCTGTTGTACGAGGCCCCATCTCTTTTCAAATGCTCATTGAATTAAGTACGAAGATGACTAATGATAAATGTGATAAGGGAAGAATTTTAATTCTTCCACACAAGAAAACAACCGATGTTACCAGCTTGTTAGATTCAATGCTGATTAAATTCAATTGTTGAAATTTTTTCATCCAAATCTCACCGAGTGTTCCCAAACAAGTCTTTACTTACGATGCTCTTTGTGTTTACAGCTAGTGAAGTGGTTGGAAAAACGCTTGTGGGTGAGCTAAATATTAAACCCCAAAGCAAACAAATCGGCTGTCAGCAGAAGGAGGTGGGAGGAGACACATCTATTGTAGAGATTTTTGGTTCATTACACTAATGTCTGAAATCTCAAAATTTAACCATTGATTTCTGACTGTAGAATGACTTTGCTAATATTCTGTGGATCCCATTTTAAAGGACAAATCACTTACATTGTGTAATCCGGCCACAAAGTCGGTCCTCGAGGGCTACTGTACTGGAGGTTTTTGTTGTTTCCTTGTTTCAGCACAGCTGATTTTCATTGATAGCTGATTAACAGCCTTTTGCTAAACTGCAATCATCAAAAACAGCTGTGCTGAAGCAAGGAAACCTCTAAAACCTGAAGGACAGTGCCCATTTAGGACTGCATTTCGGCATGCCAGGTGTAACCAATACTGTGAATTTAGAGACAGAAAATGTCAGTAAAGGGCCAAGAAGAATACAATTTATTTACAAATATTTCTTTAGACTAAGGGAAATAAAACATTTGTATTTTAGGTTAGGGAACAACATCAGACTTAAAATCTACCAAACTGCAGTTTCCTATTCAGGTTACTGATTTTCATCAGAAGTAACTTGGCAAAATCAATTCCCAAGCACAACCTTAAATCTTCATGTAAGATTGTTATCTGCACTTTATTGACAATAACCCATAAAAAATGGCTACTTTTGCTTGATAAAGCTGTCTATTTCAGCATTTAGATCACTGCATGCATTCTTGAAGCAATGTACCAGTTAAAGGCTAAAGCATGGTTGCTATGCAGAGTACAAAAGGGTAACAAGTGGAGAGGAAAGGGGAAAAACAGTAACACTATTCAAGCTCCATTGAATGAAAAAGATGGAAAAAAATAAGTAAAACAGTTGGCATCTTTAAAGAAATATATCTGTTAGTTTTATTCAGTCATTCTATATAAAACAAACCTGATAAAAATATTCAGCACAAAGACAATAAAATATGTATCATCTTTTTTCTTACTATCTAACATTCAATCTGACCAAACCCTTTTTTTATTCAATCATTCCAAAATGCTTTAACAGTTTGGGGGATATTTTCTTTTCTTTTTTTTCTACACCAAACCCACAAATTATCAAAAATGACCTGTTGAAACAATCACCACCCGAATACCAAGCCATCCTAGCTTCCATGAAATGAACAGCTGAAGCTGGAATGAGGGTCCAGCGTTTTTTTTTTTTTTTAATTGTCATTACACTGTCACATGTACAGAGCAACGAAATTCACTCTCTGCATTTAACCCTTCCCTTTGGGGCTACAGTGGGCTGCTACCCAGAGTGGCAGTCCTCGGGAGTGGGGCTTAAACTCAGAACCTCAGGATTTTGAGTGCAATGCCCTAACCACTAGACCACCACTCCCACAAAGCAGGCATTAGCATGAAGGGTCTTGCCTAAGGACCCAAACTGGCAGCTCAATCCCCCAAGCTGGGATACGAACCCAGGCTTCCTGTTTGCAGGATGGGTGAGCTATCCAGCTCAGCTAGCCAGCTGTTGTAAAGAATGTCACCATCAAGAATAAAATAAGCCCTTTAAGGACATGGGCTGAAAAGCCAGTAAGAGAGAAAATAAACAACCATTTTGAAAGACACACAGAAAGCAAGATTTCAGTTTCTAATTGTGCTCAGGTGCACATCAATTTTTCTACAGAATTCTCATCATTACATTTGGAGGACAAAAGAAAGCAAAATTAAGAAGTAAGCTAAAGTATTATGTTTAGTGGGTGTCACTAAATAGTTACAATATTAAGGAGGAATATCATGTGGGAGTTTTGAAACAACATCCAAATGGGATTTCAGTTGGAAGGTTAAAGCAAATTAGGTTATCCCAATGGATAAACACCCTATATGTAGAAGCAATAAGCCAGAATTAATATAAGATTTTGGAAGTAAATCCAAACATTTGAAGAAACAAACATCATTAAGGATCTATCTTTATCCTGCATTTAGCAAAAAAAAAAGATATTTATTATTATACTGTATATAACAGACCGAAATCAGGAAGTTACATCTAACATCTACATGGTTTGGAAAGTGACTATGACTATTTAGCATATTCCCTTTGCTGTTTTCCATTTCAGCCTAAAGCTGAGTCAAAAATGCAACGTGGCCGAGAATGACATCAATACGGAAACATGCTCCTGTGATCACCATCATCAAAAACATCAACAACATGTTGCAGACAGAATAAACATGCCACTGATAACGACGCATTCTATTCTGTCTACATAAGGAGCATTCTTTACTCTTCTGATCAATCAGCGTAGCTTTTTCAGTAACTGATCATGAGTTTAACAGCAAGGCTGAAGATAAGACAGAGAGAGGAATTCACAACAAAACAGGAGGAATTCTCTCCAATCTTAAAACTGCATGAAGGAGCAAAGATGATGTAAGATGTTCTCCTTTATGTAAATAAGGTCCTCTCAGGTGTAAACTAAATATACTGTGTATCCTCAACTCTAATACTTTAATGTGTTACCTATTCTGTATTCTGATTATATATTTTCTTGATTCATTAACAAATTTTCTGACACACTGTAATATTTGTGATTCCAATGTTACACTAGCAATAAAGAACTCTCTTCCTTTCCAAAATCATGGCTTGAAAGCTGAAGAAATGGCTGGCAAATTATGTGCAGTGTATAAAAGTGGATCCTGCAAACATAAACCAATCTTTAACAAAATCTTAGGTTTAAGTAGGTTTAGTAGCTTTCATAGCTACAGAGAATACAGCAGATACTTTACAAACAAAAAGGAGTTTGAGACTGTGACGCTTGGGCATTAGGGGTGGGTATTGCCAAAGAAGTCACGATTCGATTCGAATCACGATTCACATGCCTCGATGCGATTCTATCACGATGCATCACGATACTTGAAATATTGCGATGTATTGCAATATTTTCACTGAACACTGTAAGAAAAAGATACAGCCCTTACCAGTGGCTGACTGGCTGGGTATGATCTGGATCGTGTCTTCAGTTGATACATAACTAAAAGCAACTGAATTCATACATAGCTGTATTTATTGAAATGACTTTTGCAGGTGTTGCCATGAAAACAAATACTTAACAGAAATATTACTATTACTGGAGTGGACACACTGACAAAAAGATCTTAGGATTTATAAAACTTAAAATAACAAAATAAGGATAATCAGTGTCATTCACATGGCTTTAGTGGTCCTTTAAACCAATGAAATGAAAACATTTCCCCTTTTGCAAATTATGTGCGTCATATCAATTTCGTTTTTAACTTCTTTGTTTTTAAAGCCAAAATGCATCCAAGCAACTGACTTGAACTGTGATGGAGCCGGGCGAATTTTCATAGTGTCCTCCATGTTTTATTTCATATGACTCGTCGCAGTATCCCGCGGCCGGAAACGCTTGTGACACAAAGGAGCGGGCGTCAAAACATCTGCAGCGACATCTGCTGGACTGGAAGCTGTATTCCACTTGTTTTTGGCTGCTGTGCGCCAACCAATCATGTATTTTATTTATTCTCATTTTTTTAAATTAAGAATCGATACTTGGCTTCAAGAATCGATGCAGTAGATCACAAAAATTAGAATCGCGATGCATCTTCATGACGATTATTTTGCACACCCCTATTGGGCATAGTGTTCGTTTGAGTGAAATAGCCCATGTCACTGCTATAGAACAGTCATTCTAATGAAATATCCCTTTAAAATAGTCTTTTAAAAGAGAAGCTAACTCTGAGGGGGACATTAGTGTTACATCACTCTAATGTCATTTGTCGTTTGGCAATACATTTCACTAACTTGTCAAGGAGAAAAATGGAAAAGCATCCCTTTTAAAATCTTTCTCCTTTACTAGCTCCTTCCCCCTGGAGAAGTCTTCATCAGCAGTTTTAGACAGCAGACTGTAAAGGTGCTTCACAAATTTGTAACCAGCCTTATGTATAAACTAAGACAATTAGTGGAGATAATAGTACACCAGTAATAGCACATGTAAATGCAGTCATTGATTGCAGGCAGAAAGATCAACTGTTACAAAATCTTCATCAAGCTTAAACTCCACTAAACTGTTCAAAGCTCACAGGGTATAAGGATTTTAACATTGTGGGGGAAAGAAGATGTAATTGTACAGTTTCTGCTTGGATATCTAAACCTTAAACATGGAAGCTGAAAAGAAAAGAAAACAATTAACCCCATTTCTGTCTAAATACCAAATTTTCGATCTAATAAGTGCTGTGAAACAGATGCTTAATGTAAATGTTTGTCCTCAGCAGTCTATTCCTGGGACTTTCTGTGACATCCACCTCATAAACTCAAACACTTGGTGATCTAATGCTGCTTTGCTCCATTGATTTCATAGATCAATAGGCTCAGAGAGTTCAGACCTGGGAACACCACAATCAATGTACCAAGTGTTAGGAGACTTAACATGTTGTTTCATCATTGATTGATTCTGTCGATTTAAAGTAAATTGCACTTTTTTCTGTAGTAATTTCTGACTCTTTGAAAGGTCATGCATAAAGAAAGACATCTTATCGTTTTCTGCTGCTTGCGCATGCAGATAGGAACCTGCAAGAGTTTTTATTTATTTATATGTTTTCCAAATATAGAAAGGGTTGCAAACCCTCCTTAGGATAATTTTAAGCTGCTGCAGTGGACATCTGTGCAGGCAGAGGAAATATTCTCAGCTGAGAAGGAATTCTTCCCACTGTGGAGCTAAAGGGATCTGTCCTTTCCCTTCTAGTTGTTTAAAGTGATTGGTTATCTAAAGTAATACTGCCATCTGCTGGATGGACGCCCATCTCACAGTTATGGTACGATTTTTTTTTTCCCATATTCTTTTTCTCTGCTCAATTGACCTCTTTTCTCTTCCATTAAAACCTTATTGTATATTTAAAAAAAAAACAGTA